TAAGGTAGTGGTTATCTCCATGTGATGGAATTTCAGAGGATCCTTTTTTGGCTTAATTTTATGTCATTGCTAATTTACTTCATCAGCATGAATTACTTGTTTGAATTAAGAGAAAACAGTTATTTCAGGGTAACAGGTTTAGGAATGTTTTTAAGGCTGCTTAAGTTTTCTACAAAGAACATTATTTTTTCTGAATATGAACGTAAATTTTAAATTGTTAATCAGGTTAGAGCTTATGGAAATGGAAATGGAAAGCTGAAAATACCTAGACCACTGCCCACTGCATCATAAATCAATTAATAATCTAAAGCTACAAGATATTTTGAGAAAGATCTATCAAGTTACCATAGAAATGTACTAAACTCTAATGGAATAATCTCACAAGGAGATATTGTCCCTCGTGGTACTTACTTTCTTCCGATTCATACATATGTAAACACATTATAGTCACAACGTAGTTTCACACATCCCTTTGAGCCTCAAACAACACTGTGAGGTGGGTAACTATTGTCTGCACCTATAGATGAAAAACAGGCTCAGGACCTGATTTGCCAAAGGTCACCAAGCTAATAAGACAAAGAATCATTAAGTTGAACCTCGAGAGGTCTTTACCTTCCAAGTACACACTAGAATGCAGTACACTTCCCTCTAAAGTACTATTTATTGAAGTAGGGTAATATTAGCTTCAACTTACACATGAAGAAACAGAGCCTAGAATTCATTAAGAATGTTGATTTTAAAAAAGGAAGAAGAAGAATGTCGATCAAGACTATAAGGTAGCAAGTGTCAGGGCTCGGGTTCAAACTCCAGGCCAGTCCAACTCCAAACCCAATGCTCCTTCAACATGCTAAATTGCAGCACTGATGAAGCAGAGAAAGGGGGTGGAAATGATACAAAGGCTTACTGGACAACCATGTACAACATGACTTTGTATCCTGGCCACAGCCAATGTGTCAGGATGGGTCCCGACTCAATTCATACCTTCCTCAGCAATTCAGAAGTGGGACCAAAAAAGTCAGGCATCCCTTGAGTGCCTGGACCTATAAAGCCAATGGATAGGACATGGGCCTCTTTAGCCTACTCTATGAAACAGAATCAGAAGAAGCTGGTCTGAAGAAAGAATGGGCACAAAAGCACAGAGAGCGACTGGAAGAACTGGATGATTTCTATTTCATGAAGGCCCCTCGGGTTTCCATAAAACTCCCTAAAATAAGTGCCCTGTTTTTGCTTAAGCCGGCTTACAAACTGGGTCCAAATACAAGCGGAAGGTCTTTGCCAAAGGGGATAAAAAAAGAAGTACTTCTATAAAAGTACATTTAAAAAAAAAAGCAGCTAGCACATGCCTAGGGTGAATTATCAGATCGGAGAAAGAGTCCTTCCTTCCTAATGGCCAATCTAGCTCCAAAAGAATCTTCTCAACCATGCACCCTATTACTCCTGCAACAGCAATCCAAATCGCAATAGCTTCTTAAGTGTACCATGTTTTCCCTGCCCAATTATTTGGTCAACCAAGTCCCCCAACGGGGAATAGTCTCCTTCTCCACACAGCCAATTCCTCCCATTCAAGGTCCAGCTCAAATATTACGTGCTGCACACTTATACATCCTATCTGAGCCCTACAAACTCCCACAGATCTCTCTTCTACATCTCTCCTGGCACTCACTGTCTTTTGCTACACATTATGTAACTGCCCGATTTTCTCCTCCTTAGACCAAAGCAGTTCTTTGAGGTGTGATTTCAATCTGATTCCACCTAAGTACCCACTCCTCTACCCTCCATCCTTCTATAGAGCTCCTCAGGTTGAGAAACTGTGACTTAAGTCTCTTGGTATCCCAGCACTAAATTCAGTCCCTTGCAGAGAGGAGTTGCTCAAATACCTGTTGAATGTATGAAATATTAATTCCTCGTGCACTAGAATAGTTAGAAGTTTATACATTCAACATCTGTAGCAAGGGAAAGGAGGGGACTGGCGACAATTTATAATACCTGACATCAGAATCTCTTGAAAAAGGGACTATATATATATTTTAATACTATGACGAGTGCTTAGGGTTTAAAAAAAAAAAAAGGTGGGAGGAATTCTGGACGTTCTGATTGTGTGGCAGAACTGGTCTGCTCCATGGGGCGCCTGGGTGGCTCAGTCCTTAAGCGTCTGCCTTCAGCTCAGGTCACGATCCCGGGGTCCTGGGATCGAGCCCCGCATCGGGCTCCCTGCTCCACGGGAAGCTTGCTTCTCCCTCTCCCTCTGCCCCTGCTTGTGTTTCCTCTCTCGCTGTGTCTCTCTCTGTCAAATAAATAAATAAAAATCTTTGGAAAAAAAAAAAAGAACTGGTCTGCTCCAAATCAGGAGGGATGCAGTAGTTACTACAGAGAGGAGAGGAGAAAAGAAAAGGAGAGAGAGGACAGAACAGTGAAAGGACAGAAAGTCAAACACTCTACACCAAGACTTTCCCCATGACTCACATCTTCCAGAGTTAACTAAATTGCTGAAATGCTTGGGAGAGTGGAGTCAGTGAGTGAGTGAGTGAGTGAGTGAGGGTGTGTGTGTGTAAACCAGTGAAACAGGTGGGTTTTCATGTCCAAGCTGACATGAGTGGAACCAAAATATCATTTTCAGAAATGGTAACCTAACAGAAGAAAAGCATAAGTAAAGTAAATTACAGGAAATTCACAAGAACAGGGTGTGATGGGGGGTTGGGGGTGGCAGAGAGATGACCACCTCTGGACTTTGACAACCTCTGCAATTAGGAGTGTGAGGCTAAAACTACGAAGAGTAAGGAAGGCCTAGCTGCCATCTAGATTTTATATGTAATAGTCTTTTCTGGTAGATCAAACCTGTGAATTATCTAACCAGATACTAACTAAGGTTAAAGTAGTTAAAGTCCACATCATCTATTGATTTCTATATGCCATTTCGATTCACTAAATGCCACTCTAATACTTAAGTGACAATATCCAAATGAGGCCAGCGAGATCCTTCTTCAGGAATAAATGCTTTCAATTTTGATCTCTACTGCTAGGTTTTTAAAAAGATGTTTGCCTCAATCCCTACCTTAAAAAAAAAAAAAAAACTTATTAAATGCAAACATACTTAAAAGGAGAATGTCAGGAAGTCCAGTAGTAATCAATACAAGTCAGAGATGGGGAGAGGATCCATTCCATCATGGCTCCTTCCAGCCAGGGCTGCCCAAAGGGGAGACAGATAAGAACTTCTGCAAGCAATGAGGCTTGGAGCAGGAGGTGCCTGCTGACACAGTCCCTGCTGGTACCCCTTACTCCCAGAACTAAGCAGTCAGACAGACCAACTTCCTGTCCTCCAGCCCACCATCTTACCCCCAGGACCCAGGCAGACACTCCAATATGGAAACCCCTGCACGAGGATGCGCTCTTGACTCTGAGCAGGGAAGGGGAAAGGAGTCTTTCTTCTCCTGCCGCTTCCGAAGTCCTAGCCACCTGGAGATGGTGTCAGGCTACTTTGAGCCCCCCTGACCAACCCAGCATAGCCCTAAGCAAGGCGACCCTCTCCTGCTCACACACATCCCCCTGCCCCCCTCCACACACACAGACAGAGGGAAGGAAGAAGTCACAGGGTTAGCTTGGCAGGGTTGGGCCAAGTGATGAGATAGAAGCCCTCGTCTGTACCCCAGATTTACTGAATAAGTGCCACACTCCAGATGCACTGAGCTCCACAAACACTCCCACCTTCCAAGGAAGCCCTTTCCCCCAGAGATAGCAGCTGGCCAATGCCCAGTTAGAAATCAATGTTAATAAACTGATGAGCAGAAAGATTAGTTCAGCTTATGAAAGCCAGCTTAGAGGAGACAATATATACTATGCAAGAGTTCAGACTGCATAAAAGTCAAACATGTGATAGTTAAGATCCACCAAAGCAGTTAATTACTTAGAACAATGCTCATTTGGATGTGTAAACTCTAGAAAGTTCTTTAAGTCACTATTTAAATTCCAGTATTTGTGGTTTGACCTGCTTGCCTTCGGTATATCATAATTTCATTAACACATCTGTCACAGGCCCAAAAGCACTGAGAAAGAATTTAGGAGCAAATAAACAATATCCTCATTTTTCTTCTAAACAATTCCTCCAACCTCCCAGTTTTCCATTTCTCTATAATGGAATGAAGATATGTGAGATAGCAAAAATAATAGCAAAAATAAACCAAAGCTTATGCTAAAGTTGAACTCTGATTTATAAAATACTCCATTCATTCTATCCCTCAAAATTCCACCTAACTGAATTAAGGAATCATACACCATCATCAGCAATATACATACCGAAAAACAGAATGCACTGGGGAAAGGGGAATGCAATCGTTAGATTAGATGCAATAAAATGCACCTTTGGATTGAAGCCACAAAATCCAAGGTACACTGGATATTGAGCTCATGGTATCAGAGAATTACACCTGAATTTACAGAGTTTCAATCAAAGGACCATCCAATATCATTCAAGAATGACACCAACACTAGTCTTATTCGGCCCCAGAATTAAGTAGAATTTAGTGGCTTTTTCATCACAGTACATGTCAAAAAGGCAGAATTAGGAATATCCAATTACTATGATGATGCCTCTTTCAATGCCCCCCTTTCTTTTTTTTTTTTTTTTTTTACAAATAAAACCGTTAACTCCAGGATGACATTTCGGGAGCATGTAAAGTCATTTTTTATTGTGGCAGACAATACTACTTGAAAACTAACACTCACAGTCTTTTCCTTGTGCACCCTGCTAAAGTGATGTCTTCAAGTTTTATCTTTTTCTCTCTCTTGCTAATTGTTTAAATTTATGTTTATGTGATGACAGACAATAGAGGCTTCAGGAATATATAAACTAACATGAACTTCACTAACTCTCTCAGGATAGCTGGAAAAGGAGAAAAACCCATGAAGATCTTGGCAGGAAATTTCTTGCTACTTGATAACCTATGCATTTTTAAATGCTACTACAAAAAAACGCACACATCCTAAGAAACTAAGGAACTACTAACCTCTACAATCAATGTGATACATGGTTTATCCAGTCTTGACAAAAATCCTCTGGATCACCAATGGTAGGTTCATCCACTCGTACATATGCAATTGTATAAAGAATCTATTATTTAGAACACCAGGAAAAAAAAGCAATTAAAAGATTTATATTCATAGCTACCATTAAGAAATTTAAAAAAAAAAGCACTTTTCATTTCTATGCTAAGATCTAATTTGATGCCCTGCTTTGCAAATTCAGAATGAGGAGGAAAAAATTATAGTGATTACCAAACTGGAGAAAGATAAGGAGTATGTCCACAAATAAAAGTGGTTGTATAGAAGTAACAGGCTAATACTTTCAAATTATTCACCGAAGACAAACATTGGAATATCAATACAACATAGATTTCATCATATATGTATATGTGTACATATACATCAAAATCATAAACATACAAAGTCTTACATTAAAAATTGAAGGAAGTGTTAATTATACAACAGTTTTATAAGAAGGGTATTAGTAGGTGGGTACACGTTACTACACATTACAACTGAGAATGTAAATGGTGAACATTCATAACCCTGGGAACCTCTGCCCTCTCTCAGCACTCCTGATCCCCTTCTCTGGTTCTTCTTGGTCTTCTTCTCACCCCTACATATGCACAGCCCCCAGACAGCTGTCCTCTGGACAATATGCCCATTGCCCTGACTCTACCATCACTCCCACACTGTCCCAAGCTTCAGAACAAGTTCCCACACCCAAGGAAGCCACACGCCTAGCACTATTTCAGGTTCTTAACGTGCATTATTTATCTCTTCCCACTCTTACAACAACTCTGTGAAATAGGTTTGGTGGTTATCCCACTTAACAGATGAAAAAACCAAAGCCCAGAAGTTAGGTCCCTTGTTCAAGGACATTAATCAAAAAGCAGCAGAGCCAGGATTCAAAACCATCTCTGACTCCACACGACATTTCAGCTACTATTCCAAACAGTCTCCCTAAACAATGCAACATGGGCACCTCAATAATTCAACTCATTCACTCAACAAATTATTTCTTTGTTGAACACAAGCCTGTTCTCTCTTTTCTCCACTTCCACCTCCCTAAATCTGTCAGAGACTATACTCTCCACCCCCTGCAAATCTCTCAGGTAGATTCTTGGAATCATCTCTAACTCCTCCCTCTCTTGAACAACACTCATCTACTTGGCCGATAATTTCTGCCTATTTTAGGGATTCTAGGTTATGTTATCTCCTTACCAAATCCACTTCCACTGTCCCACTTCAGACCCTAGGTTTCTTTCACTTGGCCACTGCGATACTCTAATTAATCTTGCTGCTCTTGGTCTCTGGATCCACGCAATCAATGTTACACCACTGCTACCTGTTATCCTTATAAAACAGACCTACTCATGTTACACTCCAGCTTAAAAGCCTTTGATGGTCCTCTACTGTCTACAGAACAAAGTCCAAACTAGTTGTGTTGGCATTCCCACACAAGCTAGTCCCAACCTCTCTTCCCAGCTTCATGTCCTACTGCCTCCCCACCTAAATAATAATAATAATTTACATAGAGCTTAATTGTTTATACAGTGCATTTTTATATACATTAATCATAACAACACTATGAGTATTTCTTACTATCCCAATTTTATGAGAAAGAAACTTAGACCTAGAAAGGTAAATAATTTGCCGAAGATCCCAAATCGTAAAAAGAACATAAAAGGCAGAAAGGGTCAAGTATCAAACTCCAAATTTCATCTCCTTTCCCAACACTTCCCGCAGCCACAGCACCCCTACTCCAGGACATCAGACTCAAACTTCCTCTGAAAGTATTTTCCAACCTCTGTCTTAGCTCAAGCTATTCTCACTTGAAACTTCCAAAGAACAGTGGAAGGCATTTTTCATATTACACTTTGTATCAGTTACATACATTTATATATAAACCTGTGTCCACAGATCATAAGCCCTATGGGGACAGGACCAAAAGTTAGTCACTCGATTTTTAAAGTCTGCTTACTTAACTGAAAATGTGTGGGGAAAATAAGCCATATAAGACAACAAGCATCAAGGCAGAGACTGGTCAGGCCTGAAACCAGAGACCAGAAACTTGAATTAGACCATCAGAGCACGTTGGCAGTGCCGATAATTTTAACATCTCCTGAACAAGGTCGAATGCCCCAGTGCCAACTACTTTCACGGACATTGGCCTTTATTAAATGTTACAGTTTATTGGAAGCACAAGTCAAGACAGAATGGAGTAAAAATGAAGAATTAGAATAGAAGTGATAAGGAACAGAAATACCATTATTTCCCATTTTAACTTCCCTCTTTGACTAAGTAACCAAAATTTGAATGATACAGGCTTGACTGAGCGTTTCCACAAAGATCAGCTCCGCTGCATAGATGGCTGTCTCTGGGGCTATTTCAGTAGGCCACAGACTCACATTCCCCCACACGGCTACACAGACAGCTTCCCACGTCTCACCCTCGAAAAGAGCCACGAGGCTTCCGGGCACTGGCAGAGCCTCTCTCAGAAGGTATTTGACATGTTGATTATCTGGCCAACTTTTGCAAGTGAAGCTCCCCATGGTTCTGTCAAATGGTCAAACTGAAGAGTGTCAATGTGCTTTAAGATTACAGGCCATACTCCTTCCTGAGTTGTCTTTATCCCAGTGAAGATCAGATGCTAAGGATGCCTTGTAATTATAAAGCCCAGAATATGAAACCACTGAACAGCTGACCAGGTGAAAAGTCTCAAATGCTTCCTTCCCTCTGTCAGAAATCTCCCTGTCCACTGCTGAAACATAACCACAATGTCAACTTTTCTATGAACTGGCAGAGGGTAATATTAGAAGAAAAACTAGCCCACATGCCCTGCACTGAATTTCATTCCATTCCAAACAGTTCTAGCACCATGACCTTAAGTAATTTACAAACTAGATTTCAGAATTATCTTTAAGTCAGAACTAACTGTTCTCTATCGTGGCATCTCACCCAAAAATCTCATATTTCTATTCAATGAACCTCAGAATACTGCCACATTTTATACACGACAGCAGATTTCTTCTGGAGGCTAGTAAGACATGGGGGGGGGGCGGGAGGAACATGCTGCTCTTGTTATTAACTGTATTTTCCCTTTCAGAGACAGTAATACAACAGTCAGTCAGAATTAACATCAACTTTGGAATCAGAGAATCTGAATTCAAGCCCTAACTCTATAATTTGAAGGAAGTTCCACCACTGAGACAGTAACAGCACCAAACTCACAGAGGTGTTGTACGGATTCTGTCAGCCAACATGTACAAAGTGACTAGAACACACAGTAAGCTTTCAATAAACATTAGCTTTACAATCACCTGATTCAAAGTGACAATTACATGAGATTTGTGAAAGAATAACAAATTCTAAGAAATCCCAGCCCAAGATTGTCCTGCTTACCTTTTGGCAACTTCCATATGTCAATGATACTAATCATTCAGTCAATCGATAAATATGAAATAAAACAGAAACCTAACAGTGCTGCTTCTTGGGAGCTCCAGCAAAGTGCAGTGGCAGATACAACTGAAAGCAACTATAGATTTAATTTAAATTTATGGCATGTGTATCACCTCAAATACAAAGATAAAAAATGCTGATCTGAAATCTATAGAAACCCAGTGTTACCAGCTATACATCCCTAAATAGCAGATGTGGGAACCACAGATAATATGATTTTAGCATTATCTATATTACATAATCATACACTTTGCTCCCTCCATATTTGTTTACATGTATGCTTCCTCTTTCCCCTCAGCAATATTATAATTCTGTTGGTGGACAGTGGTGTTTCTTCTGCACCCCACAGCAATGTTAAGCAGCAGTCCAATAGCTGGACTAAAGTAACATCTAGCTAAGAATTTCGCAGCCCACCTGACCAGATCTTTCCATCAGCGCGAACACTGACTACGGTAGACAGAGGCAACACAGCCTAAAGCCTGGCTGAGTGCACGCTGGAGTCTGAGACACCTGGGATCCAACGCCACCACTCACTTGCTGCAGGACCTTGGGAACGTAAAAAGTCTGTTTTCCATTCCATAAAACGGCAATAATAATTTGACCCACCTCTCAGGATTACTGTGACAAATGAAAGAATATATGCAAAACACTTCATGCTAGACTTGAAATTTTGAGGGGTACGTTTACAGAGGTCTCCAATTTACTTTGAAACACATCAAAAAAGGCTGGATTGAGGGGTGCCTGGGTGGCTCAGTCGGTTAAGTGGCTGTCTTCGGCTCAGGTCATGATCCCAGGGTCTGGGATCGAGCCCCGCATCGGGCTCCCTGCTCGGCAGAGAGCCTGCTTCTCCCTCTCCCT